TCCAATCGCAACAAAAAGAGTTTATGAAAAACAAATGCTATTTGTATTGCAATGGACTGATGGAACACCTCTGCTATTGTCCCGCCAATGGTGTCAACACTAACATCACTTCCAACACATCCAACGCTTTCTCCACAGCCTCTCAATCGGCGCCTGTATTCCAGACTCAGGTGTTTGAGAGGAGCCGACACTTCAACGGAACTGTGGTTTGTATGCATTGATTGTCCGTTGATTTGATGACAACTCAATTGATTTGCTATTTGAAGGACGCGTTCGTGAAAATCACGCGAAACGAAGGCCTGTCAGCCCTTTGGAGTGGACTTCCGCCCACTTTGTATGCATTCACATGATTTGAATTGACTTTTAATTGATAACTAATGAAATTGATTGAATTGTGTGTAGAGTTATGGCAATTCCGGCGACTGTTATATATTTTACAGTTTATGATCAGTTAAGAGAACACATAAACCATAGGTTGAAATTAGTAGAGCAGCCGCTTTGGGTGCCGGTAGTGTCCGGTGGTTTGGCCCGAGTTTTCGCCGCCACTACTATTAGCCCTCTGGAGATGATTAGGACTAAAATGCAGTCCAAACGACTTAGTTATCTAGAGTTGGGTCGAGCCGTCAAAAGTCTATTAGAATCTCAAGGATTCTTCTCGTTGTGGAGAGGATTGAGTGCCACTATTCTCAGAGACGTTCCCTTTTCCTGTATATATTGGGCTAACTATGAGTTCATGAAAAAACAATTTAATCAAAAGGAGCCCTCATTTGCGTTCAGTTTCGTGAGCGGCGCCACAGCGGGAACAGTGGCCGCTGTCTTGACGCTACCCTTCGATGTCGTCAAAACTCATCGACAGATAGAATTGGGAGAAATGCAAATCATTGCTCAAAATAACACATCAAATGCTAGCAAAACGAGAGATATTTTGCGAAGGATTTACCGACAAAATGGATTTCGGGGTTTATTTTCGGGAATAGTTCCCCGTGTGATCAAAGTGGCGCCGGCCTGTGCTATAATGATCAGCTCTTATGAATTCGGCAAATCATTCTTTAAACAATATAATGCGGCAAAACTTGAAAAATAGACATTTAATTGTGTTTGTGATTACGTCGTGAGTAAATTGACAACACTTTTGGCTACATTTCTAGTCATTAAAACATTTAACAATTAATGATTTGTATAAAAAATTACATTATTTTGAGAAAACGATAAAATACTAATTTTAGATAATTTTGTATTTAAAATAAAGAAAATCAATATTTTACATAAAACTTTTGTGAATTCAATTTGTGATTTCTTTATCGTTAACAATAAGCGAGTAAACGATTCCCTCTTTTTTATTGCCAGAACTGATTGTTTTAATGCATGCCTTGTGTTGAGACTCAATGAGAAAATGCATTTCCGTTCCCTCGTCGGCGAACTCATGATTGGTCTCCGCCTTCACTCCATTCACCCAAATATCAAGCGTTTCCTTCTCTGCGTCCAAACAAATCAATAATTATTATTGTTTGCAATGTTTCAACACTTTTATACCCAAAGCTATTCTCCACATTTGATCGCCAATTTCCACAATCCAAGTGCTCATTACTTTTGACTGCTTTTCCTTAAATTTCTTCAACTGCTTTCCGTTCACAACCATTGAGTATTCATACGTGAATCCAGTGCTCGCGTTAATCAAAATTTCGCATTTGGCGTAAACCTGTCCCTCTTCTCCCTTGATCTCAAACGCCTCACTGCCCACCAGTTTGAACATCCATTCCCGCCGTACGATCTCCTGA